ACCTTTAACTTCAATCTCGATCAACCATCATTCTCATACTCAGGTTTGAATCAAGGGGGGAAAAGGTAATTTAGAGCTCTTCTCGATTTTGGACCACTGTAATAGATTTAAATCGATTTCAACCGATTTTGTGGCTCAAAATCGATTTGAACTGATTTAAATCGATTTTGGCCGATTCTGTCACTCAAAATCGATTACGCAAGAATCGATTTTCAGTCATTTTGATACCCAAAACCAGCTTTCTCCCCCCTTAAAAATGATTGAGAATCGATTCTTGCGTAATCGATTTTGAGCCACAAAATCGCTTGAAATCGATTTAAATCTCTAATAGGCTGGAATAGGGAACTTAAAAGTTTAATTGCAATTGTGAGAAATACAAGAAATAAATCATATGAAATAATCAGAGATTTTCTTCCTAACTTTGGAAATTTTTGACATTTCACCACATTTTGATTGATTATGGAGCTTTTTTACTTTTTCGCATAGGCTAACGAATAATAGTAACTGATCGAATTCCTGAACATGTCAAGAACAAAGGATGGCTTTCTGTATGATGTTTCATCTGGTATCATTACTCATTCACTTTCATGTTCAGCATCCGGCATCGTTTCACCAACATCCTCAAAATTGCATTATCATACAATCGTCATCGGTGCCGGATTTGCTGGATTAGTTGCTGCTCGAAATCTTTCAGCACATCATTCCGACGATGTGTTGATACTTGAAGCCCGTGATCGTTTAGGTGGTCGTACCTGGTCGTCCAATGTTCTTGATCATAAATTTGAAATGGGCGGACAATGGGTACATTGGAATCAACCGCATGTCTTTTCAGAAATGCAACGCTATCATATGGGTACTGATTTGGAAGACACCAAAGCAAGTTATGATCTTAATACACTCATTTTTAATCACGATGGACAAGGTGCAGAAGCACTGAGTAATCCAATTGAAATTTTGAAAGAAATGGACATATGTGCTCAAGATTTTTTCGATGTAGATGGACAACGAGGTCGATTAATATTTCCTCAACCCTATTCACCACTTTTAAATATTGATCATATTAAAAAATACGATCATTTATCCGTTCAAGATCGTTTCAATGAAATATCATCGAAACATTCTGCTAAAATCATTGCATTAACATCATCAATGATTGCTAGTTTTGGTAATGATGATCCAAATAGAGTTGGATTTATTGACGCTTTAAAATGGTTTGTTCTATCTGGATATAATTGGGAAAACGTTTATGAATGTGCTAATAGATACAAAATACGAGAAGGAACATCAGCTTTGGTACTGGCAATTTTTAGTGAATTCAAGGGTGATATTAAGTTCAATACCGAGGTGAATGAGATACAGTCATTAAGCGACTCCGTTCAAGTCATTACGAGTACAGGTCACCATTATACTGCTAATAATTGTATCTGTACAATTCCTCTACAAGCCATTCATTCAGGACGTTCGAAAACTATTTTCCTAAATCTGACTTCATTGTATTACAAGAAAATAGGAGTTTCGAAAAACTAGAATTTTGCTTATCACACATTTCTATGTCAAAAGTAGTGATCATTAAAGTGTTCATACTTCATTACCCTTACGTGTTCGAAAATTCCTATTTTAGCTGATTATTTTGTAGAAAAACGTTTGCTCTACAATCCTGGATTGTTGAAATTTTCCTATGCTTATCGCGTGAAAACCAGTTTATCGGTAAAGAACACTTCTTTCTCGTACAGCAAAACTTTTTTGCAATGTTATGCCTACTAGCAACAGAATCATTTTTCTCGAAACCGAACTAGAGTGAAAATTTTTAACAAATGTTTGCAATTATCGTGTCGGAAGGAACTACACAAATCTGTTTTATGTTGAATATACTTAAAGAATGACAACTGAACGTTTTGGCTGATATTAAATTTTCACCTCCTCTACCAAAAGCTTTCACCAATACGAAAAATATCAATCTCGGTCAAAAAATTCATTTTCATACTAGAGAGAAGATTCCTCCTACAATGTATAGTGCCAATTATCATTCAATATTTGATTTTGCCATAACTAATATTGATAGTTCATCAGGCACATTTATCGTTTCATTTATCAACTCAAATACAATTGCATTAAGTGATGAAACTATACCTTCTCTAATTAAAGTATTCAAAAAAGATCTTGTTCCATCTACACACGATCTGGAATTCACTCATGTTATCGGACATGATTGGATACTTGATCCATATTCCAAAGGCGTATGGTGTTGTTTTGGGCCCGGTGTTATGAGTAGTGATGGATATAGACAAATGAGTAAGATGAAAGTAACAGAGAGATTATGGATGGTCAGCAGTGACTGGGCTGATGGTTGGAGAGGTTTTATTGACGGAGCCATCGAGATGGGAGCAAAAGCTGCATGGTCGATTTTGAGTGAAGAGCTTAGTTCGTAACTGTTATTGTCCTCCATCATGTGGTACAAAATGTTTTAATATTGTTTTAATGATGAAGAAAGAAAAATATTGAAAAAATGTGGAGTGATAAATAACATGCTCAGTTCTATTTAGAATGCCACATGAAATAAAAAATAACATCTATTACATTGAGAACAGAAAAAGCATAACTAGTATCTATCTCAACAGAATGAACTTTTTCATTTTTGAATAAACTCCGAACAGAGATATCAGCACTGGCCATACCACGCGAAAAAGTTTGAGCCCTAGTTCTGTGGCATCGAAACCTTTTACCCTGTATGGTAGGGTAAGGGTATCACGCACATCTGTACTTCCAAACGAAAGATGATAAAGATCTCGGGTGTTTAGTAATTTTTACTAAAAACTTCAGTTTATACCAAGGGCGAGAGTCCAAAATTCGAAATACCTGCCAGGTTTTTCAGGTAAGAAAGAAAAATTTTTTTCAGGTTGTTTTCAAAAAGTTCAGATGGCAAAGAAAGGTTTCGTTTATCATACTAAGCAATTTTATTGTAGAAAAGATGTTTAGACTACACTATTTTGTTCCTGCTGGAAATTTTAACCCATTTATCAAGATAAAACATCTCTAGATGGTATCTCACTACATGGGTGTAGGAAATAAAAGTATCAAATTGGCTCTGTCCCTCTGGAAGGTGAATCTCAGCAAAAAGTTCGATTTTGAGGTAATCGTAAGGTGAGGTATCTGTAGCGTTTACTATCAAAAACTTAGTCGATATCGCCGGTTTTTAGAGGATTTTCTGAAATATCTTCTGGGAATCTGAGGAAGTTGTGGATTTATACAACCTAACCCCAAATAGTGAACTTTTTGAGCGCTATTAATTCTTGTTCAAAAAAATTGTATAATATCAATATGTAATACGACTGTAAATTCTTATTCCACTCGACATAGCCTACAAAGCTCAATGAATAAATAAAGTCACATAAAAATTAGGAGTTACATCTATTGTAATAGAATATCATATAAACTTTTCAAAGATACTCACAGCAGAGAGAGTACAAATTGCGTATTTAATTACTGAATATCTTCCGATTGAATATGTTCAAAAGCAGTGTAGATAGTTATATCACAGATAAAAATAACTGAAAAGAAAAAAATATGCTGCCAGTGGGGAAAATCGGACTCCCATTGTTCAGACCACAACCGAATATACTACCACTAAACTACACCTACTCTTAAATGACATGGTTAGACAGAGGCAGGACATTCTTCGTTCTATAACTGAGCCAAAGTCCCAGACAGACAAGTACAAAGAAGTGCTCTATGCTGATACTTGAAACTACAAACATCAATAAGTGTAAGTTACTGGATATACTTCAAATGCCTGCGTTCAGTTGAACTCGTCTAGATTTCTATTTTTTCGCTATTACTCTAATATCGAAAATGCTGATTTCTCATGTCATATTTTTTTATTATATACCGCGCTAGACCGATATATTGTCCGGTATACCATAGTTTACCGGTGATATTTGTTACTAGCGCGGCAGAGAAAAAAACTGACGGTATTTTCCGGGTATCAAGGGCATATGTTGAGCATCAAATTAGATAATTTATTAATACGCAAATATTATCAAGTGTCAGCATATATAACTTCTCTTACTTGTATACTATTAATAATAAACAGATCAAATCAGCATTAATTGTTCGATGTTCCATACGGACATGAATGTTATCAAATCATTACCATTTGGTGTAGCAATTAATCGTCGTTCTTCCCATTCTATGTACAGTAGTGCCTCGACGACACGTATGTTAGAAATATCAAATACAGAGAATAAAATTATTCAGTTACCCATCGACAAAGTACACACAAATATGTGTGTCATTGTCAATCAAATATGTTGTGTTTAAAAAATTTACAAACACTTCTGCTAAAGCCGGTACATTCATGCCGGTTTTAAAGTTCTTAAATGCGAATGGAGCGCCATATAATCGATTGTAACGTTTGATTGACTGTGAATATCATGGTGTTCATTAGAAAATTATTAGCTTTTGATCAGCTATAGCTAGAAAGTTGGGACTTTCAGGTTCAACAAGGAATCGGATAAACATGCCGACAGCGAAGATAACAACAAGGTAAGCAACCCGGTTGCTTACCTTGTCGAGACATTACATACAAAACGCGTAACTCTGCTACCGGAATCTCTGTGAGTTACCGTTTTTTCTCTTTTCGTCTATCCTATAATATTCGGAAAGAATATTGTAGAATCCTGGAAAGCATCTTGTTTTGTAGAATGAAGTGCGTTCTATAAAAATCCACCACTAGCTCACTTCGAAATAATTGACGACGTTTCGGTTACAATCGAAATCCTAGAAGAGCTAACAACAAACGACAATGTTTTGGGGCTCTTCGTATTTTAAGTACAGCATAAAAAGCGCCAATTATTTCGAATTGAGCTAGTGGTAGATTTTGAAGAAAGCACTTCATTCTACAAAACAAGATGCTTTCCAGGACTCTACAATATTCTTTTTGAATATTATAGGATGGATGAAAAGAGAAAAAACGGTAACGCACAGAGATTCCGGTAGCAGAGTTACGCGTTTTGCATGATTAGTAATGGTATTTTATCTTCATCATCTGGATTTTGATCGTCTGATATTGATTGAGTCGATAACAATTCTTCTTCATCATCTTCGTCCGCACTTGAATTATAACGACTATCAAATGGATCGACATATAACTCTGGATCTGAAGCTGTGCTATTAAAATCAGAGATGGGCGAGTACGCAAATTCTCGAGTACGAGTACCGGGCGTCGAGTACGAGTATTTTCTAAAAAGTACTCGAGTACGAAACTGTTTAAAAGACGAAAATACTCATGAGAAAAGGTTTAACTGCCTAACAACAGCCATTTTCAATATCTTTCTGGCTATCACTTGAAGGAGAATTAGGTTCTACACTTAGTTTTTTCTATCAGACCATACATCCAGAGTCAAACTAAGACTTTTTGCATCAGTACATATTCTTTTCAATTTTTTAATAACTTTTTGATTCATTCCTATAAAAAAGAAAACAAAATCAGTAGTGAGGTTGAGTTAGTTTTAACCTCATTATCTGTTCAGAGGTCTGTTTTTCACAGTCGATAGAAAGTTTCTGTAATAATAATCTTCTTACCTGGTAACATTGATCGTGTTGTATGTCGTCGATTAATACATTTATACTTATTATCAACCAATTTCATAAACATTTTAAATGAATTCCGTTCTACTAATGATAATGGCAATCCCATTTCAATAGTTAAATCACCTTTTCCCAATCACTATCAAGAATGACTAAGAAAGAAAAGAAGAAGAAAATAGCCTGATTTGTTCTTATTTTAATTATAGGTTATTGTATGTTAAGTCATTTGTCTTAAATTTTTAATGTCTGAAGAAGATACAAA